GTGTGTGTGTGTGCGCCTTAGATTTGCTGGAATCGAACGAGGATAGTCGATGAAACGGGAAACTATTGTACTATATACCATGGTGAGTCTCTCTTTAATGTTGTCCACTTCCAGTACTTTGACTTTTTCCTGTCTACCACCGAGGACATCGACGAAGAGATTCAATATCGGATCAGATGTGCATCTCAGGCCTTTTGGCAGACTCCGTACCCGTGTCTTCAGCTGTAGGGAGCTGAAATTATCTACAAAGCTGCACGTGTATCGAGCAGTGATCCTCCCAACTCTGCTGTATGGCAGCGCGACCTGGGTCACATACAGGGGACACCTCGAGGTGCTTGAAAACAAATGCCAGTATTCTTGCTGACACCAACTGTAGGGGTTCGAGGCTACCATTATCCATGAACAAGTATGTTGGACTGGTCATGCTACCCGCATGGACGGCGGTAGACTACCAAGGCAGCTACTTTACAGTTACCTAAAAAATGGTAAGCATATCGCTGGCGGATAACGGAAAAGGTTTAAGGACAGTCTTCAGACTAATCTGAAAAAGTGCCAAATTGACCCCCTTTCACTTGGGAAACGATCACTCCACACCGTAACGCTAGGAGGAGCACCACATGAGAAGGTTTTAATAGTTTCGAGTTAGCCCGATTGCATACTGAGGCAGATATGCTGCCCCTCCCGCACTAGATGTAGCCCTCCAAACATGTAACATCTGAGGACGGCCTTGTCGATCCCGTATCGGCTTCTTGAGTAACCACAATGCTCACCAACGAATGTCACATCCTTAATAACTCTTATCATTGTATCATAGATGGGTGATCGCCATACTCGATTCCGAGTGACAGCAAAATAGTAGTGAGTCAACTGGTGGTGGGGTGGATGGGTTGACTGTGACAATGTTTATTTTAAATACTTTTATGGTGATAGAAAAAACATTTATTGATAAGGCAGCGTTATTAATGATTGTACAAGATAATGTTTATTTATAATAGAATAATGAGACAATATACTGTAATAGAATAATAAGACAATGTTTAACATAAGAACGTTTAATGGTGATAATGTTGATAGTATAAGGTAACTTTTATTATTGATAATATAAGAACATTTATTTACAATAGAATAAATTAATGTACAGTACAGTATATTAGATGCCACTAAGAGAGCTTAGGTTCTCAATTGGCTTGGCCATGTCAATATTGTTAATATTATCGACTCTGTATCTTTATTTTGCTGGCTAAATAAATGTTTCATTATTATTATCAATATCAGTAACGTTTATTGAAAAAAAAAATGTTAATAATATTTTTATCTTTAAGCAACTGATCTCTGTTATGTTGCAGTTTTTTACATTTTGTTTAAGTTACTTAATTTAAACTGTGTATATATAAACTATAGTTTATATCAAGATAGAATTGCCTCAACATATTAATTGGAGTATAGTCGGTGGTGTTAACTTACACACTATTTACAGTATAGGACGTACAACTGGCACACACTCGAGACCAAAATATAACTAGTATCTAACTTAGTTACCTAATAGTCACACCGACAGGGTAGCGTTTCACTGTTCATACAGCAGTTATGGTTGCCACTTACCAAGCTGTTTCATGAACTGGGGTCCTTGCAGATCAACACGTTTGAGAACAGCAGTTTTTCTCAGCTCATCACTCTGGTTATATTTTGTGCCAAGTACAGTGCTGTTACCGTGGTGTGAGGCTAAACGAGAATTGGGTTGTCAGAATTATCTTGGTAAGTGACGCAAGTTGCAATACATCACGACTGAAGGGTTAGACCTGCTACCCCCTCCGGGCCAACCTTTATTGAACTGTGTTGCGGTTATCAGCACTTCTTATCAACACTAACGCAACATTGACCTTCAGAGTATTGTACTGACTACCCCGAATCTTGGAGCTTGAGTCAGTAATTATTATAAAAGCATTTTGGTGTACTAGCAGTTACGAGAGGATGACTCGTGTGTTATTTGTTAGTACGGTACAGGATTTTAATTTAACTTAAGAGGTTATGTTCGTCACTGTTTACTGTGAAGCTGTTTCCGGTTTGTGGGTTATTGTGTAGTTTATGGGTGTTGTCTTACTGTGAAGAATAAATGAAAGTCGTAATTATGTTACTGTATTACTGAAAGCAACATGTACCGCATGTAAATTGTTTTCGTGTGTATTTTATTGGTTTCGAAGGTTCATTAATGTGTTTTTCTATGTTTTTTTTTACAGTGTGATGATGAGTGAAGGTGGTGGGGGTGAGTGTGGGAGCGGGCAGAGTGACGTCCGCCCGATCACACACCAGCTGTGGTTACGACACCGCCAAGACGACGACGAGGATGATGACGACGAGGAGGGGGGCGTGACCAGGAGCGAGAGAGGCGTTAGTGTGAGTGAGGGCGGGGAGGTGGTGGTGGTGGGCGGGGGTGGGGCTACAACGTTGTACAGTAGGGAGGATGGAGCTACCGTGCTGGAGGCTGCTGACGGCACCACCACCGTTCTCCGCCCGCACGCCCACGCCGCCACGCAGAGACTGACAGTCACGGTGGAGGGGGGCGAGGGCGGCGTGGGTGGTGAGGGCATGACAGCCATAGTGGACGGCCAGACGGGCACGGCCACGCTGGTGGAGGGCGCCGAGGTGGTGCGCACCCAGGCTGTGTCCTACGCCACGCCCATCCTGCACCACGTATTTCTGCAGGCGGCGCCCGCCACGGCCAGTACCACCCACGCCTACACCACCCACACGACGCTCCTGCACACCACCCACACGCCCACCATCCAGCCCTCCACCGCCACGCCCCGCAAGGTGCCCCCTATGCTCAACACCTCAGCCACGCCCATCATCCTGCACCCTAACAGGACCGTCAAGGTAAGTCTCTTATCCTGCCATTTCCGGTTGTTTTTTAATGCCACCTGAGTGAAGGGGACATTTACATATCTATTCGTATGGACTTGTGATTAGATTTTTTTTTTTTTTAGATTGCCCCGGAGGGGGCTAGTTTATTGGACACCCCCTTACATCCTGTGCAAGGTGAAGCGCAGAAGCGTTTACAGTGCCCATCTGGGAAGCATGTTAAGTTCATGCTTGCCTTTATGAATCATGCATTAAGGGCGTAGAAGCCTGAAGGGTCATAGGTTTTGTCAGCTAGTTACATAAAGTGACAGAATGATGAGTGTGTGGGGGGAAAGTTCCCGGTACATTTCATCTGTAAATGGCAAAGCGTGGCAGGTCCCTAATAATGTCAAGTGCCAGGCCTGTCACTAGGAGGAGGGATATCTGGTCAGGGAGGGAAGAGGTGTTGGTAACGGCTGGGGACCTGTAGGAGGAGGTCATAGGACAAGTGAGGATGTAGTGACGGAGGGTGTGGGAGTCGGGTTGGCCACAAAGTTTACAAACAGTGCAGCCAGGCTCAGGGTTGCAAATGTACTCCCATACAGGACTTGTGATTCTCAAACTTTTAAGCACCGAGGGCCCTACGAGTTGACCTCTGACACCTCGGCCCCTTGATACTCAAATTTACACATTGTTAATCCAACACTATTTAATAGATGCTGAAAATAACAATTATCAAACTTAAATGTAAAGTGTGTGTATCATAATAATAATAATAATAATAATAATAATAATAATAATAATAATAATTAACGGTTTATTGAAAGAGCATGGCAGCCGGAAGCTGAAAATATACAGTTACATAATTGGGGAATGGGTCACTTGATTGACGAATAATATACAAGTAACGTAAGTGATACAAATATGATATATTATAACAGGGTGGGGAGAAGGGCATTTTAGCATAGAACAGTGCAAAAGGGTATGATTGGCTGGGAGTGAATACATTGGTTGATTACGAGTTGTTGGTAATTTTTACAATAATTGGGACTGGGCTGTTGTTGTAACAATCAGTACATGCTCGTATGAGCTTGATGCGGATGTGGTATCGAAAAGCAATTCTCGGACGAGGGATCTCGGGAGCCGGTGTCGAGGATGGTGCAGAAACTTCACACCAAATTTGCAGATGAGGTCGTGGTGATGGTCAGAGATAACCGAAAGGGTCAGTGTGTTGAGCGTTTCTTGATATGTGGAGTAGGAGGGGGAGAGAATAATCTTGCATGCCCTCTTCACTTTTTCTAGGTGTTTTCTAGCTTGGGAAGTATGAATGTTGAGTAAACACTGAGGAGCTCGGGCGCAGGAACTCCGAGGGAGTCAGCGGAGGAGGTACAGACGAAAATTGAAGAATCACAACTGTACTGACGTGTGTTTTCCAATTTAATTTGTTATATATAGTGACGCCGTTTATCTTAGTGGAGTCCCCAACATTGGAGTGTGTGTGTGTGTGTATGTGTGCGTGCGTGCGTGCGTGCGCGCGCGCGCGCCCGCCTTTTACTTTGTGTTTAGTTGCCATACATAACAGAATTGTAGCGGGACCCCAAATGTAAACGCCTGCCCCTTAGTTTAAGAACCGTTGGTATAGGGATGCAAGGGATGACTTATAGGTAGTAGGTAGAGGGTAACTATCAAACAGGGAGGTACTACACCCATATGGCATCACAAAAGTTGTGACCAAGTCTCAAGTTGCTGATCTGACTTTCTGCCTCATTTACAGTCCACACACTTGCAGGGTCTCAATTGTTTCTTACTTTTACAACGCAACATACATATATCGTTTCTCATTCTTTTTATGTATTATTTTTTTCCATTTCTGTGCCCGGATGGGCTAATCCCCAAAAAAAGTAAACACACACACACACACACACACACACACACACACACATTCCCCAAATATGTAACTGTATATTTTCAGCCTTCTGGCTGCCAAGCTCTTTCAACAAACCGTTAATTATTATTATTATTATTATTATTATTATTATTATTATTATTATTATTATTATTATTATTATTACTAATGGGCAAACACTCGCCTAACCTTGACGAGCACTACAGTACAGCATGGTATTACTGGTGGGTCACTGCCACTTACAATTTTACCCCCTTTAACCTTGTTCACGTTTATGGGTAACCTTCTTATATAACCACTTGAGGACGCGGGTAACCCATTTAGGTTGATTATTTGACGATTACATTCCACTTGGATTAAGGAGATAGTAGTGGCTAGTAACGATGTTTCAAAGCAAATAGACAAGCTGAAGCCAAATAAGGCTCCGGGTCCGGATGAGATATTTGCCAGAGTATTAAAGGAATGTAAGGAAGAGCTTAGTATGCCCTTAGCAAATTTGTTTAACATGCCATTAAAAAACGAGTGTAATACCAGAATCTTGGAGGATAGCGAATGTGATACCGATTTTCAAGAAGGGAGAGGGATCACTATCCTTTAACTACCGTCCAATAAGTTTAACATCAATTGTAGGCAAATTGCTGGAGGCAATAATTTCAAACTCCATTCGAAATCACCTAGAGAAGCACAAGTTGATTAATGATTCCCAACATGGTTTCACAAGTGGGCGTGATAATATATTAACATTATTTTCATCTGTTTTCGAATCAGTGGATGACGAGCACGATTTTTTTTTACGGGGTAGAGCCCATATTAATCTACACCACGAAGATGCCGGAAAACCAGCTTTTTAAAGTGAGACTGTTTGTAAGAGTATGGAAACACAGAAGAATGCAGAGCTTTCCACAGTTTGGCTGTGTGAGGAAAGAAAGGTGTACTATAAAGGGTTATTCTAATCACTAGTGTGACCGACAGCCACAGAGAAACGGTGGTCAATGCGGGCAAGACGAGTCTTATGAGCCCGCGGCCTTGCCGGCAGTACACAGGATGCCAAATCCACCGAACATTGCCCGTTAAAGTACCTGTAAAAGAGAGAGAGTGAAGCAACATTGCGGCGAAGACAAGGAAAGAAAGATTTTCAACTAAAGGAGGAGCGTCATTAAGACAAAATGCCTTGGATTCTATTCTATCTAACAGTCGGACAGAAGAAGAGCCACCCCAGATATGAGAGCAGTACTCCTAGTTAGGACGAATGAATCCCTTATATACTTGAAGCAACTGCTCAGGAGTGAAGTAACTACGGCATCTGCACAGCATTCACAACTTTCGGGAGGACGCTTTAACAATGTTGTGGATGTGTGGCTTCCATTACATATTAGAGGAAATAATGAGACCTAGCATATCTGCTTTAGAACTTGGCAGAATGATTGCATCCTGAAATGTGGTTGGTGGGAGATCATCAGATTTGGAAAGTGTAATTAGTATATACTGAGTTTTATTACTATTGAATTTAACCAAGTTTCTACCTCCCCATTTGGAGATGCTGCACAGATCCGCTTTGATAGAGGAAATATCAGCTCTAGAAACAGATCTAGTTTGAGAATTAGGGGGAAGGGAAAAATGTGAAGAATAGAATCATCATTATAAGAATGGATAGAATTAGTCGTAGTGTGAAATAAATCATTGATAAAAAGAAGGAAGAGAGTAGATGAAAGAACAGAACCCTGTGGGACACCACGGTTGGTAGAGAAAGAGCGAGAGGTCGATTTCTCGACAACTGCTGCCGTGGATCGGTTCTCAAGGAAGCTAGAAATTAGAGAAAGTGGGGGAAAGAAACCATAAGAGGGAAGTTTAGAAAGCAAAGACTTGTGCCATATCCTGTCAAATGCTTTGGAGATGTCGAGGGCCACGACGAAAGTTTCCCCATAATCCCTAAGAGAGGATGACCAAAGATGAGTGCAGTAGGAGAGCAGATCACCAGTAGATCTCGCATGGCGAAAGCCATTCTGGTGATCCGACAAAAAAGTAAAGCGTTCAAGGTCACGGAGAAAATGAGAGTTTAAGATAGTTTCGAAAATCTTAGAGAGGGATGAAGTTAGGGCAATGGGGCGATAGTTAGAGGGATTAGAATGGTCACCCTTCTTCGGGATGGGCTGAACCAAGGCATGTTTCCAAGAAGAAGGAAAAGTTTGTGTTTTTGGGGCAAATGCGAAAGAGGCGAGCAAGCACAGGGGCAAGAATTTCAGCACACTCCTTCAGGTTACGAATGTCTTGCACTTATTTGTCATAGTCATGACTCCAGTTCAGCTTGTAACGTGGGTTTAAGGTGGCAGCTAGCTGGAAAGCCTCCAAAGACTCAACCTTATTCAGACGAGTCTCTGTTGAGGACTGAAGTACAGAAACAAGCTTGCTTTTATACACTTCATGAAGACAAGCTAAAGCAGCCCGAAGACCACGAACAAGTTAACTACCAGACTAGATGTCACCATGTTTTGTCTCTGAATCTGATTAGCCACATACTCAAATGGCTGGAGTATATCACAGAGCTCCTTGATGGTGTTCAGCTCATACTTCACTTCAGGTGAAACTTGAAGTACTGACCTCATCATCATCAACTGGCTATTCCAGCGTGTACTTGTTGCCACCTGGAGCTTGAATTCATGTGAGAGCACTTCTGCAGCCACTGTTGATTTCCTGCAGAAGCTGACGAGCTTAGATACTTTTGCAAGAATTTGCTTGATCTGACCATCTTGCTCCATGCCATCTTTCATGAGATGCCATGCCTTCACTTGATATATTTTTAACACATTTTTTGTGCTAGCTAACTGTGTCAACCCATGTGGGTTACCACGTGGGCATCTACTTACAGTTATACGTGTTGTTCTTTTCTTGGTTGTAAGCTATGGTCTGATAAACATTCATTACAGTAGCGTTAATGAGTTTGGTCTCATAGAACCCAAGTACATGAAATCTGTGGGCAATAGAAGATATACACTGATGTATAAAGATATCTAAGTGAAGGGGGATACTGCTGAAGTGGTGTGGTGTGGTACAGTGTGTAGTACAGTGTTCGGGTATAGTGTAGTCACTGTAGTGTGTGGGTGTAGTGTGATACAGTGTATGGTGTGTGTGT